TCATCCGCACTCGCTCCTGCGCCTCTGCAGACACACTCCGGTGGCTTCAGCTGTTGTCGACGAGAGGAGACCTGCACCTCAGAACTGCCAAAGTCCATGTGTGATTTTTTTAAATTTTCTCCTTCTGGTAAGAAAAACCTGGTTATGTTAAAAACGCAATTCATTTGGAAAAAGTTCTTTGGAGCGAGTTCCATTCCGAACTGAATGTCTGCACTGCTCTTGGGTATGGTATACCACTCCGTATGCATAAGCTAGGTACAAAACGTAAGCGGTGGTTAGCAATGCTGGATTTACAAATGAAGTCAGTTTTTATAAAGCTCCAACCCACCCACCTTTAACACGGCAAACCGTAACAATCGTGTACTGTTACCTACAAAGTTAACAAGAGCAGGGTCTGGAAAAACAACTTTAAAACTCGTACTGTGTGAATATTACACGGAGCGACTGTACAACCACTTCCACCCCGTGCACTGGAAAGGCTCTCTAAGAAACGATCGAGAGAGGTCTGTTACAAAAACGACCCACACATTTAGACCTCTGCAAGGGCAGGTGAGAGCTTTATTAACAAACTCCTGCCCAACACCCAAGATAAGAAAACCGCGCTGTTGAAGCAATCTATCTTGGTTAATGACAGCTTCTGTTTAGGAGGACAGGGCTGTATTATCGTAGATAAGAGCCTCTTCAGGCTCGTTTGCAACATTTTTTCACTCAAAGCCAGAAGTGGTTTTAAGATTTTATCTTTATTGCGAGCTCAGAGGAGACTGCACCATACTCCTAGGTGGAGGACCACTGCAGGCAAAGCATTACTGAGAGGAGCGGCGAGGGCGACGTCGGGCTGAGCCCCATCGCAGTCGGGATGGACGCGAGCCCTACACACCATCATCTCTCACACTGTAATAAAAAAAACACAACTCATTCAGATCGTTGGGATTAATGCGGTCTGGAAAACAACCGTGCTGCGGAGCAGCTGTCAGAAGGCTCGAGGCAAACAGCTCAGAGATAGCAGCCACCTCAAGTGAGCTCCCTGGGGCTACATCTTATATTTTTAAGTCTTTATAGGAGGAAAACGAAGTCCTAGAGTCCCACAAGGGCAGGTGAGACAACCTATGCTGTGTCACAGGTAGTATTTCCTCGTACGAGTTGCCAGTCGATGCTGCCTTTCGCTAAGAATCACCTAACAGCAGCGTTTCTGAGAGAGACTGTATTTTCTTCAGGCCTGTGAAAGCAAGCAGCTTTAGGCTTTGTAGAAACCCAATATATAAATAGAGGGGGGTGGGTTTGGGTTTGGTTTACGATTTTAGGTTTCTTTTACTAGGTTTTTTTAAAATGTGGACTCAACTACATGTGAAAAAAACCCACCACCAAACCCAACCATCTGCTCGACTTTGTTCTAACTTTGTTTTCTTTCCTTCCTACCTGGAGTACTTGCATTTGGATATGGTTTACAGCTTAATATGCAACACACGGTAACTGCATTAAAACCTGACAAGCTTAATTCAAGGGAGACTGCAGAAAGTCTTACATCTCTTAAAAAAAAACCTCTGTCTTAGGCAAACTGTAAAATACTTCATAAATGAAAATGGTACACGCTACTCAGATGAGACTGGAGATGAATGAAAATTTGAAAAATACAGAGCAAAGCTCTGCCTCCCAAACTCCTTCAGCGCACCTCACGTAACCAACAGACACGTATCAGGCATTCAGGGTTACCTCATTTGGTTAACCTGCCATCAGTTTTAATGTCAATTTGACAGAAATATGATACAATTACATTATCTGTTGTGCACCCAGGCATTCGTGAGTTATTTGCCATGAACTCGCATTGAAATGCTTTAGTAGTAACTAGAAAACGTAACACAAAACTTGGGAAAATATTCCAAACCGTCTATGTCCTGTTAATACTGAACTGATCATAAAGAGTAATGCCCCTCAGTTTGCAGCACGTACTATTTCAGGGTTTATGTTGAACGTGTTTGTTCTAGAACGCACACAAAAGATTGAAGCTTTTTGACTTTTTAACTCTTCTGAAATAACATACAGGCAACACAGGCTTGAAATTTTACATCGTAAACCCCTTTTGCCGTAGCTTCCAAACGTCTTTGACCAATGGATTATTATTAGGCTTCTCAAGTCAGAAAGCCCCACAATTTTCATACCAAAATCACAAGTGCTTGGAATCCTGATTTCATACAGCTTTCTGAACCACTTGCTTGCACGAGAAAAAGAATCTTAGGATTTGGACAAATCTTAGCCTGTGGTTTAGGCTTCGTTTTTAGTACAATAGTGTAGGCAGACGCAATAAAATTTGGGCCCGCCACCAACTTAAACGCTTACGTTAGACCACAGTCTTAAGCTTTTTTTACCTCTTGCATGGCTGCTCACACTAGAAACTTTCCCGATACTTGCTTTAAGCAGAAACATTAGCTTTGTTATGAATTTTTACAGTCTTCTAAGCAATAATAAGGTCAGACTCAAATACAAACCAGATTTGGAAATGAGGTTTCTTTAAAAAAACAGGAGCAGGAATATTTTACGATGTAAATTTCTTGCAGGATTGATGTCACTTCAGAGTACCATTTCAGGTGGCATAAACAGATCACTGTGTATAAACCTACATTTGTGAAAGCGAAAGCCTGGTAATCTATGATCCCTGTTATCATTCTGGGGCACAAACATAATACCTTCCTTGGTGACAGTTGCATTTTTATTGCAGTCCTGCACAGCCATTTCTCCGTGACACTCGTTTCTTATTCTCCCAACAGGAGCACTGTCTGCTTTATCTGTTCCCCTCCTGAAGAGCGCATAGTCTTTCCTAATTACATTTTTTTTGAAAAAGCAATACAAACTGTGCTGTAGTATTGGTGTTCTTGTGACAAAAAATTTATTTAACATGGCAAGCTTATAAAAAAAATGGAGGGTTTAAGATGTATAAACAATCAAAGAACAAGTTAAACATTTCTCACAGAGCTCTCGGGATCTGACCACGGTACAACAATCAAAGAACAGATTCTAACATTATAGGAACAGCTGTAGTTTCACCTCTGTTTCTAGAAATACAATAGCACTCTTCCCTCAGTTATGCAATACTGTATCTTTAGCTATTTAGTTTAACAAAAAAAAAATAAAAATCTATTTTTGAAAAACTTTGACCTTCTTGACATACATTGTTAGAACACTGACATCTGAAATACTTGTCTAGAGAGTATTCTCCCCAAGACCTCATTTTTATATCTAAAAAGATAACACATCCTACAACTCCATCAAAAAAAACCCATGTGCAGTTGTCAAAAAGATAGCAAAATTCAATACTGACCATAATCGCAAGGTAACAAAAAACCTGATGAAACCTCAAACTTGGTACTAGAGGTTTCTGCACCTCTGCTAATTTGTCTCTAAGAGACTACCTGAAAGACAGCCAAATGTACATATATCACAACGTTTAGCTGTAGTACAAACAAGGTGGCAGTGCTCTGTCATTCCCGATGTACAGGACGTAACTGTAGTATCTTCACTGTGTAGTGGATGTGTCAAGAATAGTTCTGTTAATGCAATTGCAAATTCTGTATTGTTGTCTATTAGAAGTGTAAACTACTGAAAACTTGGCCTTGCTGATACGAATAAAGTGATTAAAGTACCCGTCTTTACAGATAAAGTAGAGTTTGTCTTTTTTAAGAAATGCGAATCTTGGAATTTCCTACTTTTTTCATTTTACAATTTGAAGAAAGAAAACTAATTTTAGAAACAAATAGAAAGTCACAATATAAATGCATCTGTTTTAATCTTCCCTGCGTGGTTCCAAAACTCTCGGGACACATCGGTACCCTGTACATCCCTGGGGTTTGATTATCCCCACGGATTAGAGATGTCCAGTAACTAAACCGCACATGAACTCTACTGCATCGAGCCTGCTAGTGGTCTGCGAACATGATCAAAGACACCAAAGCAATATCAGGCTGGATGTTAGGAAGAACTTCTTCACTGTGAGAGTCGTCAGGCATTGGAACGGGCTCCCCAGGGAGGTGGTGGAGTCACCATCCCTGGAGGTGTTCAAAAAACGTTTAGATGTGGCGCTTCGAGACATGGTTTAGTGGGCACGGTGGCATCAGGTATATGGTTGGGCTTGATGATCTTTAAGGCCTCTTCCAACCATAACGATTCTATGATTCTATTTTATACATACATAGATACACCTAGATACACAGATACAAAGCACATCACGTTTTCAGAATTTCCCATCAGCTTCTGCAGACCCCACAAGATCCACACCCTTGTAACACTCTGAAAAGGACAACGGAGATGACAGGTTTAAATAAGAAGGTGTAAC